CTAGGGCAGGCGGGAAGGCCACTCCTCCCCCCCACCCTGTGTAGTGGGTTAACTGGTTACGGTCGTTGCATCGGCTGACAGAATGCTGAACCAGCGAAGGGATCCAGTGGGATTTTCCATCCCTCGTCCTCACCCCACTGATGCTCCCGGAGCGTCAGTACGATGCCCCGCGATGGTAGCTCTGTCGCCTTTGCTGTTTGCCCCCAAAGCGCTGTGAACAGGCCCTGGCGGTGCTCAGCCAGGGCCCCGGGCCGGGAAGTGCCAGAAGGCTGCCTGTGACCCGTCCCCCGGTGCATGGAGCGAGGCGCTGGGCCGGAGGAGACTCCGTCGTGTGAGCGTGTCGCGCAACGTGCTCCGGGTGTGCCCCCAAAGCGCTGTGAACAGGCCCCGCCGGTGCTCAGACAAGCCCCCGGGCCGGGAAGTGCCAGAAGGCTGCCTGTGACCCGTCCCCCGGTGCATGGAGCGAGGCGCTGGGCCGGAGGAGACTCCGTCGTGGTGCACACGCTGCTTTAGTGGGGCATTTCCTGGCTTCCGGGTGCTTGGCTTTGCCACCCTACTGCTACTGTGATGGGTTTGGGCGTGTTCGCTAGCTAGGGATCCGCTAAGAGGAGGAACTCGGGAGCTGGGGTCTCCGAGGTCCCTGGGCCGGGGGAAGAAGGTGGGAGATGTTTTGCAATATCTGAATCTAGCTCAGTTTGGGTCTGGGGCATCCTTCTGGAGCAGGGGCCTTTTATTATGGCGAAAAGGCCCAAACGCTCCGTGCCAGGCAGGAGGGTCAGATCACTTGGGTAGCCTCCCTCGGGTTGCCAGGAGTCCGGTATTGAACTGGACAGTTCGGTATTTTCGCCTTTTTTGATTATCCAAACAAAATCTGTGTCCCACATGCTATTTGGATAATCTGGAATATACAGTATAAAATTTAATTTCATTTTGAATTATTCTAAAAGGAGATTAAGAATGATACATTGTGACATGGTGACTCTTAGGAGCTGTATGCTTTACAGGACTTCAGGAGTTGAAAGTGGGCAGAAGTAAGTTTTGTCAACCAAATCTTAAACACAAATATGGGATAGACTTGGCAGAAGTTCTGAGGATATCTTTCTCCTGATGTATGGTAGATAAATTAGTTTAATATCTAATATAAAGAGGGAGAAAATTTTTTTTTTTTCTTGCTGTCTCAACAAACTTTTTCCTGTTGTGGTTTTGTTGTTGTTGTTCAGTATTTTTTCTGAAACCATCTGGCAACCCTCTTGGTAGCTGACAGCAGGGCCAGAAAGCGAGTGCAGGGCGGCTGGCGTGCAGGGAGCAGACACGCTGCCCCAGGCTGAGAGGGGAAGGGCTGGGCCGATTGTGACGCACACTCCCTCTGCTGGCAGAAAAAACGCAGCCCCACAGGGCTGCACCTCACCCATTTGCCGAATGGGCTGGAAATGATTTGCCAGGCCACTCCAGACGCCTCCCCCTCACCGAACGTGCTGGTGGCAAAGGAGCGGGGGCGCCAGGCCAGGCGGGCGTTCTGTGCCCGTGCTGCCCAGCCCCCCACCTTGCCCACCCCAGGGTGCACAGCTGCCTGGTACCATCCCCATGAAGGCGTTAACGGCAGAAACGAACCGCCTGCTCCCAGCCAACGAACGCCAGTGACCCTGCCAAATCCGCTCTGTCCTGCCACCGTCGCGGGGAGCAGGCACGGCACAAGCCCCACCTCAGTTTGGCACCAGGCCGTGCCCCATTACTCGGCTGGGGGGCTGGACCATTTGGAACCGGACCCACTGAAACTCTGGGCTCCTGCCGCTGACTGCAGTGGGCTTCGGCGCGGGCCGCTTCTCG